GTGTTTGAAGTGTGGGACCGCAGGGCATGTGATTGCATGGTGCCCACTTATCCATAACCCAAAAGTGAGCCGCCAGTAGGAGTAGCATCTGCTCCTACTGAGTTAAGGGTTTGGATCAAGATGAAGGTAAGGCGCCTACTAACCCTTCCAATCCTTTGACTCGCTCGGCAGAGGATGGTTCTTTTTCGGCCCATCGTCCGAAACACCCTGAACCTGTCTTATGTACTCTCTCTCCGGATGACTCCCTTGATGAGCTTGGTAACGAGTTGCTAGCACTACGAAGCTCGTGGGCTAAGAAATCTAAGTCTAAGGGTGACCTACTACTCGCAGATGTAGAGATTGCACGTACACGCGTAGGTGCACTGTAGGACTCAGGATCCACACGATCCTACATATCCGAGAAAGAAATCCGCAAATTGCATCTCGGAATGAAGGTGAAAAACCTGTCTAGACCTATCACGTCTGTTTTGGCTGACAACAACACAATCACTGTCTCGCAGTATGTTGACTATGTGAAGTGTCGATTTCGAACCAAGGAAGGGAAGATAATTCTTCACGAGGTATTCTTGCTTGTAGAAAGGAACTTGCCATTTGATTTGATTCTGGGAATGGATTGGCACGAGGAAGCCAACCCAGACATTAAGTTCAAAGAAAAGACTGTGCCATTGCGTGACGCACAATCTGATTTGAAACCAATCAAGTTGTTTCATAAGTCTGGCTCTGACTTTAATCTGTCTTTTTGTTGTATGAGTTATCCAGCCTTTCGTTCAATGCAGGAGAGTCTTCTACTTCCTATCCTTCTTCGACTGAAAAACTCTTTAGCGAGTATAAAGACTTATTTACCGAACCAACAAGAAAAATTGTGCATGTTATAAAGCACACCATTGAAATTATTCCTGAAAGTAAGATTCCCAAGGGCCCTATCTACCGAATGTCTGCTAGGGAACTTGAGGAACTGAGAAAACAACTCCAAGACTTAACAGAGAAAGGATGGATTCGCCCTAGCTCTTCTTCTTATGGTTCCCCTGTCCTATTTGTGCCCAAAAAGGAAGGTGAGTTGCGTCTCTGTATTGATTATAGAGGGTTGAATGTCGTCACTGTTAAGAATGTCGAACCTCTTCCACGAATTGACGACTTACTTGACCAGTTACAGGGTTGCAGGTACTTTAGCAAGATCGACTTGAAATCGGGGTATCCCCAGATCGAGGTGGAACCCTCCGATCAGCATAAGACCGCTTTCCAAACCAGGTATGGCCACTACGAGTTCGTGGTAAGCCCTTCGGATTAACGAATGCCCCTGCCACTTTTTAGAGGTCAATTAATGACTTGTTCCGTCAATGGCTGGATAAGTTTGTCATTGTCTATCTCGATGATATTCTAATGTATAGCAAAACACTAGAAGATCATGAGAAGCACCTTCGTCTGGTGCTAGAGAAGTTGCGAGAGGGCAGCTTCAAGATCAATGCCAAAAAGTCCGAGTTTGCTAAGTCCGAAGTGTTATACCTAGGACACATAGTAAACGAAGAAGGTCTAAGGCCAGAAGAGAAAAAGATATCAGCAATTAGAGATTGGCCACAACCTCAGTCTATTACTGAACTGCGATTTTTCCTTGGTGTAGTTAGTTATTATAGGAAGTTTGTCACCAAGGAAACTTCCTATAATAACTAGCTACACCAAGGAAAAATCGCAGTTCAGTGGTGACAATGAAACGCAAAGACGGGTCAGCAAGCTTAAGGACGGGGTAGTGAGTCAGGGCATACTTCAATTTTCGATAATAACAGCGCCAATCTTGAAGTATGCCCTGACTCACTACCCCGTCCTTAGTTCGATAAGCTGACCCGTCTTTGGGTTTCATTGTCACCACTGACGCAAGTCAGTATGGGATTGGCGCTGTTCTCCAGCAGGATGACGACACGGGCTACATGCCCATAGAGTTTATGTCTGCACGACTGCCGTCGGAAAAAGTTGCCAACTCCACCTATGAAAGGGAGTTGTATGCCTTAGTCTGTGCACTAAACACGTGGAAGCACTACTTATTGGGAGGCACTTTACTGTGTACTCAGACCACTCTACTCTGAAGTGGATAAAGATACAACCTAGGCTCTCTGATAAGCTGGTACGGTGGTCTGCGTTTATTGATACCTTTGATTTTGAATTGAAAACGATCAAAGGTAAGTCTAATGTGGTTGCAGATGCATTGCCCAGACGGAGTGATTTCTTTGGTGCAATTGTCTCTTACTTGGATGTTGGGAATGATCTGAAAGACCAGATTCGCCAAGGATATGCTATTGATCCTATCTGGAAACCAATCATGGATATCCTTGTATGAGATCCGTCCCAGCTACCCAACTATAGACTTGCTGATGGATTGTTGTTCTTGATTGACCAAATCGAACAAAGATTGTGTATTCCTCTTTAGGAAGAGATTAAAAGTCTGTTGATTAGGGAATGTCACGATTCTGAGGGTCATTTTGGTTTCAAGAAAACATATGCTGAAGTCAGAGAACGTTTCGAATGGAAGGGACTTAAATAAGATATACTAACATATGTTCGTACTTGTTTAGTGTGTCAGAGAAACAAGCCGTCCCATGAGAATCCCCGTGGACTTCTTAATCCATTACCTATACCAAGTGAACCAGGTGAGTCTATCTCAATTGACTTTATGAATCTGGTCAAAAGTCACAATGGTAATAGTCAAGTGATGGTAATTGTGGATCGTTTCTCTAAATACGCTATGTTTGTTCCCTTACCAGCAGAAGCGCGTACTGAACTTGTCATTCATAAATTTCAAATGCGATGGGTCACCGAGTATGGGTTCCCTAAAACCATTGTGTCTGATCAAGATGTCACGTTCACCAGTCCGCCATGGCATAAGCTAATGGAAGCTTGTGGCAGACGGCTGGCCATGTCGTCAGGGAGGCATCCCGAAACGAATGGCCAGACTGAACAGATGAACCGTCTGTGCCAGTAGCTTTTGCGTATGTATATTAGACCCGATCAGATTGATTGGGATGATAACTTACCTAAAATTGCGAGTTCATATAACAATAGTGTCCACACTTCTTCTGGACGAACCCCGAATGCACTTCACAAAGGGTGGAAGCCTAAACGTCCCATTGATGTACTAAATCGGGACCAGTTCCTTAGGTTGCCCCCAGGGACTCGAGAATATGCAATATTGTTTCAGGAGGACATCCAGAAGGTTAAAGATAATCTAAGGAAAACTCAACTATGTATGATTGAACAAGCCAATAAGCACCGTCGACCGTCTACATTCAAAGAGGGTGATCTGGTTTGGCTAAAATCTAAAGAGTTTTCATTAGAAGAAGATGTGCCCTAGAAATTGCTACCTGTTTATTTTGAACCTTGGGAAGTTCTCAAAGTAATTGGAGATGCAGAGGGACCGTCCTATCGAGTTGATATTCCCCCTCGTCTCAAAACATATCCTCTCTTTCATGCGTCCAAATTGTTGCCTTACGTAGAAGGAAACGAGTTTCCACACAGACCCTCTATGATTCCACCAGACATGGATGGCGGATACGAGGTTGACAGGATCATAGTGCATGGTTACTTCTCTACGGGAGGACGTGGGCGACCTCAGAAGCAGTTCAAGGTACGTTTTAAAACTCTAGCACCATATGAGGACAGATGGTTTAGTAAATGAGAACTACTTGAAACTGCTCCTGATATTGTCGCTGCTTATGAACGAGGGTTAAGGTCTTAAATATTTCTGCGGTGGAACTCGAAAATGGGTCGGCAGGAATGTAATAACCCTGTTCAGAAGTAGCCTGGGGCCCAGAACTCAGCCCCAGGCCACGCAGACCTGAGTTGGTCTGCGCTGGGCTGTGTGGCCAAGACACGCCCAGGCCTGAGTCTGTCGAGTATGGCTGTGTGATCGAATGCTGCACACAGGAAATTCAAGAGTCAAAGTCAATTGTAGAGTCAAAGGTACCGCACCCAGACCCTTGGTTGTGGCATTGAGATCTGGACGGCCGAAGGATACAACATCCGGAGTCTAGACCCCGCGTCAACACTACATAAGAATTGACTTCCTAGCTTTGACATTCATTCTGTCTTGCGTGGATGCTGAAGACACGCCCAGGCCTGAGTCTGTCGAGTGTGGATGTGTGACCGAATGCTGCACACAGGAAATTCAAGAGTCAAAGTCAATTGTAGAGTCGAAGGTACCGTTGTCGGCGCGAATACCCTTACAAGGGTATCCGCCCTGGTTTTTGCAAGCGACAGAAAATAGTCTTGGTTTAAAGTTTAAGTATACCGCGCCAGGCGCGGCCGCGTCTGTAATTTGTGTTGGCTAGATGGTTGACTAGAATAGAGAGTGTGTGGGCGCGCGGGTTTTTGAGGCGCGCGTGATCTTATAATTATTGATGATAAAAGGGTCGGCGTGTTCGCCGACCAGAATTTCTGTTGTCTCCTGATTAAAATAGGGATTAGAGAGATTATGTCTCGTTGACTAAGGTGCTCACCTGCAACCCATGCGTACGTATGGAGGACGGCATCGGCGACAGGATGACCGTTGAGGTGTTTTCAGTCGACCAGTGCGTTACGCAGGGTTTGGTTTATTTAGACGCCCGTCGAAGCCAAACCCAGGCATGGGCTTAGCCCTATAGGTTACGGCGTTGGGTTGACGCTATGAATGTTCGGCGTCGGCGCGGCAATTGCAGCGGAGCGTCGCGGAAGGGACCGATGGGGTCGAGGGCCACCAGGGCTATCCCCCTCGGTTCTGTTCACGAGCGCAGCGGCGGGCCCGATCCGCGGGACTGACGAGGCGCGAGCAGGCCCGTTGTTCCCCAATATTATTCTTTACTTTTATTTACTTCCCTCTTTTTGTTTTATTTATCGCGTCCTGTTCGGGGACGCGAGACGGAGGTAGTGTCACGTGGGGGTGTGCTGTGTCCGCAGGGTTGCCTGAAGTGCAATTACAAACTGTTTTCGTGGCTGCGTCGGAGCCGCGCCCCGTTTTGCCTTGGGGCGCGGTGCAGTGGGTGTGTGGCAGGCCCCAGGGGCTTAGTTCGATAAGCGCACCCATGAACTGTTGGGGTGCAGGCCCGTGGGCCGGGCCTGGGTGATGGGATTTTGTGAGAATGACCAGCTATCCCGGCCTTGTGCAGACTACGCAGGTTCCGAGGAGGGACCGCCTAGGCACCGGTAGGCCGCGGGGGATTGCCTCGAYCGTGGTCCTTCGGGACATCCGTCAAAATTGGAACGATACAGATAAGACTAGCATGGCCCCTGCGCAAGAGCATGAATCGGGGCGGGGTCCGACGGCCAGACGCTTCTCTGATATTGCTCGGTATCCGGGGGTAGCCAGAATTGCCATTGATATTTTGGTTTTTTTTCTACTGCGCGTGTCGGTTGAACCGGTGAGGGACAACGCTACGGGAAAGCGGACTAGGCCGGCCCCAACGGAGGAAGGAAGAGTGAACCTGGACGCGGGTCGCGCCAGGTGCTTGGAAAGCGAACGTAGCCATGGCGGAGCTCGGCAGGAGCATTGCGGAGCAGGGAGAGGAGTTCCCGCCCGATCTGTGATGAAATCGGGCGAAACAAGAGTCGAGGTAGGAGTTTCTGGCTATGGCAAGCTTGATCATGTGGCTGGAAGGGCATGGGAATTAGCAAATCGCGAGTTAGTTGAAGGAGGGGAAATGCGGGAGATGGTAGAGAGGTGAGTAGTGCTCAGTAGGCCAGGGCATAGTGAGGGAGATTGCAGATGAGGGGGGAATCTGAAGTGGGGTGAACCTGGACGCACGCTAGCGCAGTGTGCTTTCGGAAAGAGAGAGGGGGAGAGGGCTCACCTGACCAACTAGGGTTTGATAACATAGCACAGCGACGGGCGCTAGCAAGGTGGCGGGGGATGGGGCAGAAGCAGCGGGCGGAAGGCCGGTGAGGCGCATACAAGGGGGCGAGCGAAGAAGTGGTAGAGGGAATGGACCCGGGCGCGTTTCCGCGCCGGGTTCATTTGGAAGGAACGACAGTGGCAGGAGAGGGGTTGGGCGCAGCAGGAGGTAGGGAGTTCGTTCCATAGCGGGCCGAACCGAGTGGGGGAAGAACGTGAGTAGGGCTTCTTGGACTAGGCGAGCACGATCCTGAAGTCGGCTTGGTTAGAAAGTTAGTAGAATAATGGTAAGTAGGAAAAAGGTGTGCGGGGAGAGTGGGTATGGCAGGGTGAAAAACGCCTAGCTCACTCGATACTTATCAAAAATGAGTGAACTAAAGCTGTAGGTAAGGGTTTTAGTGGTGGGCGAATTCGTGGGTAAGGTTAGGTTAGAGGGAAAGTTAGCAAAACGGGAGTTAGTAAGAAAGTCCAGTGCGTGGGGAATATGGCGGGAGAAAGAGTGAAGTTTAAGATTTCGGCCCTTTTGTGACCGATTTTTGTGATTAAAAATGTTAAACTAAGTTTTTTGTCGAGCGGATGAGATGGCGAGCTGAGGGTTGGCGTCGGATTGGCAGAATAAGGAAAGAAAACGACCTTGTGATTTTTCGATGTATCTGTCCACTTAGTAGCGGAAGATTCATCCTCATTTTACACCTACCGTAAAGGAAAAAGGGAAGGGGGACTGCTTACCTGTACTGCCTCGCTGCATGGCTTGAGCTTCCCCTCTGGGAGATCGGGGCCATCTTTGCGTCTGCAGGATGGTTGTTCCCTCCAGGTGGTCGCAGTCTGCTGCGGGCAGCTGTCCTGGGCTGTTGTTGCTTGTATATAGCTGAGCATGGTCGGGCACTGTTGCATGTGCAGCGCCTCACGGTGCCCTCATTAAGCGGCCAACGGAGGGGCGTATCTCCACGGTCTAGTGGAAGACTCATTCCAAGTTCGCTCATCTTAGTGATTGAGGAGCGTGGGGACAGCAGAGAGGGGCGACAGTCAGTCTGGGTTTTGACTAGTGCATGTAGCAGTTGCGTACTATTGCGGTGACTAGCTGCTATGCCGGGTTGTGGTGCGCATGACACAGTGCGAAGGTTTGGCTATAGTCTGCGCCCACCTCGGATGGAAGGGTCGGGGAGTATTCAATTTGAGTGCGGTCTCTCTAAGCTACGGAATGACAGGTTAGTCATCAGAGTTAACATTATAACGTCAGGAGTATAACTGAGACTTCAGAGGTGGCCACGCCCTGCAAACAGGGTGTGTACTGCCAAGATTGGTAAGTTTAGGGAAGTGATCAGACTGTGAGGAAGAGGCACGTTGTTGTGTATTTCTTGGGTTGCACTTTGCGGCGCATTGAGGCTGGCTGTTGCGGGGCACTGCTGCTGCGTGTGGACAGTTATTGATAGTTACTGCATATTGCTGCATTTGAACTGTTACAGGCTGCTAGGCGGCCACGATTGGGCTGAAAAGAAGTGTTGAGGTCGGGGAGGTGATCAGACTGGACGAGTAGGGGGTCAGTGTTGCGACTTGGAAATTCGTCAGGCGAGCCTGTGTCGGCAATCGACTTCCGGTTGGCTGAGCTTGTACATTGTTTGGCTACCATTGTGGGGCCCTCAGGCGCGTCAAGGAAACAAGGCCCTCTCGTGCGAGTCTGAGTGCACCCCTTCTGGATCTGAGAGTCTCAAACTATCTCCTTCTTCCTTTCTTACTCTGAGTCTGGTCTATTGGTTGTGAGAGGAAGGCGGCAGGCGGGATTGCAACCCGTAATCCGTGCCAAGGCCTCCGTGGGAGGTTCACCCCACCAATTGCGGGAGCCCTGCCGGAACCCAGGAGTTCTGGAGGCAGGGAACTCAGAGGTAACCTTGGCTTTCCCCTGTAAACCCAGTATAACCCCTACCTATACACCTCCCCATATTTTGGTTGATTGGGTTATATGCAACGCTTACTTTGACTTTTTGGACTGACTTTCAGGACACAAAGCAGACTAACTAAAGGAATGCATGTATAATGGCTGTTTCAGCTTCTTTGATTGCCTGAAAGCAGATTGTCACAAGGGGTTGCATCAGGGGGAAGGTTGGAAGGAAGGCGGTTTTGCTTGCGATTGAACGGTTCTTATAGGGTCAGGCATTGTTTCTAAGATGAATGACCTGACTGCTGTGTCTTGTCATGTTTTCTGAAGAACCAAGCATTGTTTCTAAGACGAATGGCTTGGTTGCTGTGTTTCTTTAATTGTGCCAGACATTGTTTCTAAGATGAATGGTCTGACTACTTTATTTCTGAGGGGTATTGATTGCTCGACTTTCGAGGACCAGACATTGTTTCTAAGATGAATGGTCTGGTCGTTGTTTATTTTGGGTGGTTTCTGAACAGTCTCTGGGTCTTGACCCAGGGTACTTTGCTTTTTTWTGTGCTGAGAAAAAGGGGTTGAGCATTGTTTCTAAGATGAATGGCTCAACTCTTTTTGATTGTTTTATTCTGAGGGAGGCTCAGGCCAGAGGACTAGACATTGTTTCTTAAGATTAATGGTCCAAGTCTGAGGCCACAGGACTATAATGAGAACAAAGGAATAGGATTCTCTATAGTGCTGTATATATTTATATGAGAACAAGGCTAGCCAGACATTGTTTCTAAGACGAATGGTTTGACTATAGCCTTATCACAAGAGAAGAGAGTATAACTGAAGGTAACTTGGGCAGGCTGAGCATTGTTTCTAAGACGAATGGCTCAGCCCTACGCTCACTTGCGAAGATTAAGTTCAGAGAGGTATATATAATTTGGCTATTTAAACAGTTCAGGGCGACTAAGCATGGTTTCTAAGACGAATGGCTTAGTCATATGCCGAATGAAGAGAAAAGTAGTTGTGCATCCTGTTCGTGTATACCTAAGGCAGAGGGTTGGCATTGTTTCTAAGACGAATGGCCAGCCCCAATGCCCTGTGTAAGCAGGGTATAAAGGGTTAAATCATTGGAAGACTGAACTATTGTTTGCTAAATTGACTTGGGGTGGTGAGAGTACTTACCCTTGTGGTTTGGCTTGCATGTGACTGAGTGAGGCTACTACTTGGTCTGAGTTTTAGTTTGCCAGGTAGTTGCTTTAGAGGTTCGCCACGCGCTAAAGCGATAGGAGTTAGTTTCAATTCCTGCGTTTTTTTAGCTAAGTTTTTTTACTTAGATCAATTCTCGCATTTTCTGGGATCTTTTGTTATACTTGGCTTTGTATAAATTTTGTTAAGCTACTTTCTCTACGGGAAGCGGTTCCGAAATTTCTGCAAATCCAAGGAGTTAGTCAACTTTTGACTTTTCAAACTTCAACCTGTCTAAAGTTCATATATGGCTTAGTAAAAATCTGAAAAGTCTCCTTTTCTAAAGGGAGTGTTGCCCAAATTTTTGCTAATTCAGGAAGTTAGGCAAAATTGGATTTTGGAAAGTCAAAGACTATTTTTGTTTTCATATGCAGGCTGATATAAATTATGAAGAGGCACTTTTCCAACGGGGGCACGAGCTTAGAGGTAGGCTCAGGCTTAGCTTATAGGAAGATTTTGAGTGAGAGTGTGTTATGGAGTTGTATTCTCCATACACTTATGATTTTAGCTTGGGGATTGGCCTGTCTTGTGCTGCAGGCCTTCCTGACCATTTGATTCAGGATTTGAACTAGTTTCAGCTTTGATCCTACGAGGATCATCTTCTGTTATCACTGATAACAGGTCGGTTGCCGATTCGTCGATTTACGATTCAACTCATTCACTCCTGCCACCCAACCTAAAGGCTTTAGCCTTGAGATTTGAACTGTTTTGTTGTTTTTTTACCCGGACTTTATTGAATGGCCATCCTACAAAAGTACTGAGTATTTATTTAAGAGTTGCACGAGTGAGGCTTGTATGGCTAAAGCGAGGGGTATGAGTGCAAGGAATGGACCTCGTGTAGTGCGTGGATTTCTGAATGAATCTTTGATGTGATTGCAGGTGCGTTTGGGGTTCGGACTCGGGATGTGATTGTCTGCGATTACATACATATATGGTTGAGAGGAGCCCCACTGTGACTGTGAGAAGTGATCGTCCTATATAAATAAGCCTTATATATATATATATATATGAGTCGGTGAAACTCCGACGAAACAGTTTGTCACAGCCCCTCGTTTGTTGTCCTCTTCTCCCTCTCTGCCTACGGTTTACCGGGCAGTTCTATTTGACGATATATATATATTTATATGTGCCTTGGGTATGCGCGCGACTTACTGAGATCGTGCGCAAGGGTTAACCAGGTTATGATTTGAGGAAAAAGGGGGGGTCCCTTTTTATCCTTCGCTTTTAAGATATTTTTATGGTTGGACGTTGTAGTCTGTGGCAACCGTCAAAGTCAAACCCCTTGACTTTCGCCCAGGCCTGGAGTAGGACTTATCCCCAGGGCCGCAAGAAACGATTGCCACCACAGGTAAGGACCTGTGTACCACCCGCTCTACACAGAGTGCAGAAGAGGGTGTGTGGTCTTCAACCACGGATGGCGGTTGTCCGACGTCGAGAGATTAACCCTCAAGGCGCGTGTCAGCCGACACTTGAGTGTCGAATGCGACCCTCGAGATTAACGAGGGCTACGCGAGTATGGGTACGACATAGTACGCCATCATTGCGACCGCTTGCATACACTTGCATTTGCGAGTCGATATGAGCTAGCCCTGCGCCGACGCGGTTTTATATCAAGTCTCGCGCGTGACGCCTATCTGATTTTCGCGTCGGAAAGTTATGGGATGGTCACCGAGGGGCTAGGAGCGTGTCGCGTTGTTCGTATTGGGTCGTGTCGTGTGTG